CAATCGGCAGGAGAGCCGACCGCAGGGGAGTAATAGACAGAGACGCCGACTGGGGAACAGCACGTTGCTGAGGGCAGCAAAGCTGGTGACAAAGGGGGGGACGCCGAGGAGTACACCGACAGCGATGTGGTGGAGGTTTAGCCTCGACCTCGGTAGTCAGGCCGAATTCGGAGGCCTCCCGACTTCTTCGTCCCCGCTGCCTTCACCACGGTGTACGACGTGGACGACGATGACCGGTTGTATGACGACGCCAAGGACAATGATGAGTTTTTGGAGCTCGACCCCGACATGCATGCCAACCCCAAACACCATTGGGACATCTCGACGATGACAGTGACGGAGGCGTTGGCGAGCTGGAAGGGCCCGCCGGTGAAGGCCGCCATGGAGGAGAAGATCCGCAGCCTCATCAACATAGGCACGTGAGAGTTGGTCGAACGCCCGCCGGGTGTGAACATCATGAAGAACCGGTGGGTGCTGGCGACGAAGTACCACATCGACGACACCGTCGAGCGCGAGAAGGCGAGGCTGGTCGTGAAGGGCTTCACCGAGGTGTATGGCGCCAACTACAACGAGATGTTTGTGCCAGTCGGCAGCTACGTCATGCTGAGGATCTTCCTCACCATCGTCGCCGTCCTGGATCTCAACCTGATGCAGCTCGACATGAAGAAGGCCTTCGTGTAGAGCAAGCTCGACCGGGTGCTGTACATGTCCCAGCCGGACTACTTCAACGACAAAACCGGCCGGGTGTGCAAGCTGCTGAAGAGCCTGTACGGGCTGAAGCAGTCGCCACTGCTGTGGTACTTAGCGCTCAACGACGTGGTGGTCGGCGCCGGGCCAGCTCTGTACTTCAAGGTCACCTTCCTTTCTCCTTATGCTCCACATTACATGTCCACACTCCACCACAGTGAAGTGTGGTCACAGTTGGCATTGCCACCTGTCCACTCATCCCACACTCACCTTGCTGGCCTCCATGGTGTCAACGGGAGCTGGGTGTGGCCCCGTCCTTGCTTGGGCGGAGCCGATCACTGTTATGTGATGCTATCAATTGCATTCACGTCTGTCTCCCCCCCATCACATAATCGTGCGTTGCATGCATGGTGTGAGCGTGTGCAAGAATTTGTGTTTGATGTGGTTTGGGTTTTCTGAGTGTGTGTGAATGTTATTTGGCTTGAGCAGATATTTGAATTGACTCCCCCGCTCAAGAGCTTTCAGACGAACCAAGTATCGTTTCAATCGGAGCACGAAGAAGAATGTTACGAACGTTAGAAGTTCGTATGCTTTTGATGTTTGGTTATGGTGACTATGGGAAGTTGTGGGGTTGACTCCATAAGGGGTATAGACTTTTGGGGGCTGGGAAATTCGTCAACATCACTATAGATGCTGCCAAGTGGTTGGGAGGAGCCAAACCAAGTTGGCAAGTGTGGCCAAGTTGGGTAAGGTGGATGGTATGGGTTGGGAAAGTGACAAATGTAAATGTGGGAGGGGATTTGATGTGCTTATGGGGTTTCCCAAGTCGGGGACTCCTTGGGGACCTTCCTCCTCGTCCTCCTCTTCCCCTCCTACCTGGTTTCTAGCAACTCCAACTGTATTGTGTGAATCTTGTGAGACTCTTGTGATCGAGTTAAGATTCTATGGCAGCATACCCCCTAGTGCGCCGAAATTCATAGGTCAAGATATTCTTCATTTCTTGATACGATTCAACTTGGGAATTGTAGCTACACTCTAGAGCTACAGCATATTCAAAATTGGTGAAGTTTTAACAGTGCGTTTTCCGTCGACGGCGTTTCTTGTGAGCACGACTTTTCTGTCCAGAATTCTAAGCCAATGATTTTGAGAAATTTAGGCACCTAATCTTCATAGACTCCATCCTTAGTCTTTAAAAACTACGTGGTCGGGTGTGAGGGGAGCAGCCGACCTGCAAAAGTGGGCAGAATGGTCGACGGGGTTGATCGACCTGCACGGGATGCGCCGACTTCGGGAGGGCGCCTACTTCGGGGAGGTTGACTTGGGAGGTCGACCTGTGTCGGGCGTCAACTTGGTGACGCCGACCTGGAGAAGCTGACCTGGGTGGCTGACAGCTGTGCTCGTCGATTTGGAGCCGGCCGACCACGAGTGTTGTTGACTTGGTGGTCGACTAGGGCGGTGTGGTCGATAAAGGAGGGGCCGACGTCGACCTCGACAGGGGAGACGGGGGACGCGGGCTGGAGGGCGTCAAGGAGTAGGACGCCGAGGTGGTGGGCGCCGAACATTGGGGACGCCGGGCCTGTGCAGCCTGCGACCGACCGAGCTGGTCGACCAGGCGTGATTACCCAGTCCACCGGGATACCCAGGTGACGTGTGCAAGTGTCGCCGGGGTGGAGTTTGCGAGGCCGACCTCGGGGGTGGTATCCCGAGGTCGACGTGGCTGGTGGGCGCAGCTGCTGGCGTGGAGGTTGCCAGGCGTCTGCGTTGTGCTTGTGACAAGGAGCTGCTCACACCTGCGAAGCAGGTGCACTGTTGTCCTGCGGGTGCAATGTTGTGCAGCTGACTTGTTGTAGTATTGGCACGCCATGGACATGCAACTTTGGCAAGCCGCGACCTTGCTCTGCTGGAGCGCAGCCGACCAAGTCGTGCTGGCACAACCGTGTTGCGCTGAAGGTCGACATGCAGCTTTGCTCGGCCTTATGTAGTCTTGCATGCCAATGTTGTTCCTATCATTGTTGTGAAATTTCGCTAGTGAAACTCTTGCCCAATTCCCTTGTGAACAAGCAAGTAGTGCAAGCAAGAGTAAACGACGTGAACGAACGTAGAGATCACTCTTGCCCCGTGCCTAGCCCGTAGCCTAGCTCACATTGTACTAGGTGTGCCATATGCTGTTATGTCGGCTGTTGTTCCAGCTTGGCCCACATGTGCAACATGAGGCCTCACTTGCTAGCTTGGCAATGTTGGCTAGCCTTGCCCTCAGCATTGAGGTGCTGCAGCTAGCTTGAAGCGTTCAGCCACATATATTGGGCTTCCCACTTCACTAGGAATCATCCTTGGACAAGGACCTTGCTCTAGTCTTAAAGACTTGTACCATTTTCTTACTAAGAATATTTCTTCTTCCTATCGTGCCCTAAGTTCACTGATCCATTTTCTTCATGGTATCAGAGCTAGGCTTCTAGATTTGTGAACGTCGCACACTTGATGGCTCAAGTTGAGACGCCTCTCAGACGGCACACCCTTCCTATCTTGGAACCGGATGCTTCCAACTTCATTTTATGGAAGAAAAAGATCTACTACATCTTCAATGTCCTCGGGCTGATCTCCCTTCTTGGAGATCCCAAGGTTGCTTCCCGCCCTTCCATTTCCTCTTCCACAACCAGCAGTGGAGATGCTACTGAAGGCAGCAATTGTGCAGCCTCTAAAACAGCCCATTCGATGGCGTCGCTGCCAGATGACAAAAAAGAGGAGCATGCATACTATCTTCTCATGTCATCCGTCCATCCTCAGCTCTCGCTCACACTTGCTCAAGCAAACACGACGGATGATATGTGGGGATGCATCATGGCGCGGTTTGACTGCATGGGTAACCATGCACAAGTGGCTCTCCTCCGAGATCTCATCACTACTCGGATGGACCCAACAATGAGCCTTGGTTCCTACTTCGATCGAGTTGGAAATCACACGCACCAACTCAAATGTGCCAGCTTCGAGCTACCATCTTGGGTGGTGGTAATCTCCATCATTCTCAATCTGCTAGACTCCTTCAAGACTCTCACAAAAACTATTTGCACTGTTAAAGACATCAAGTCTCGGTTGGATGCCTGTAGTTACGTCTACTCGATGCCGATTGGGAGCGGTCACAATCTGGTACAAGCCGCAACATGAAAGGTGCATATAACCTCAATTCCCAGCCCTCCCACCCTATTCTCTCCATTTCTTGCCAGTCCCCTACTTGCCGCTACTGCAAGAAAACCGGCCACACCATTGACAAACGCTTCAATTTGAAGAAGAAGAAAGAGCTCAAAGAAAGCTCTCGACGGGAGAAATCTGTCATCCTACCTTCGGTGCATGTATCAAGAAGCTCCCCTGCCGGCATCCCTTCGACCTCCACAACACCTACTGGCCCATCAGCCCCTCAGTCCGTACCTGATTCCCGGTACGTTCACATTGCTTTCAGCACCAGCCACCGCCCCATCCTCCCCACCTGGACTCCTCTTGTCGCTGCTGTCTTCATCTTCACCATCCTCCTCCTCCTCCCCCTCTTCCCTTATGGTGCTCCCTATGCATCTGTCAGAACATTATAGCTTATACATTTGTGTAGGCTGTAGTGGGGTAGCCCATAAGGGGTACAACCCAATTAGGGTTAGTACTTGTACCCAACTGTTTCATAGTTCATTCATCCATTCTCATTTCTTGCCATGGTATCGAGCAGGTTCCCGAGTGGGAATGCTGCCTAGGGCCCACCAAGAATTTTTCTTCCCTGCCCGGAGTGCTCTTCGCTCCTACCCGAGTAGCGCCTCGAGCCGCCCTTAGTGGCCCCCTTTGTCCGCCCTTACGGCCCCTCGCGCCGCCTTCTACGGCCCCTCGCGCCGCCCTTACGGCCCCGTCTGGCCCCTTACGGCCCCGCTTAGGCCCCTTACGGCCAGTCGCGGCCTCGCCTAGGCCCCTCCGCGGCCCCGTCTAGCCCCACCTAGGCCCCTTACGGCCCCTTCGCGGCCCCGCCTAGGCCTCTCCGCGGCCCCGTCTAGCCCCTTACAGCCCCGTCCAGGCCTCTCCGCGGCCCCGTCTGGCCCCTTACGACCCCGCCTAGGCCCCTCACGGCCCCTCCGCGGTCCCGCGTAGGCCCCTCCATGGCCCCGTCTGACCCCTTACGGGCCCTTCACAGCCCCGTCTAGGCCCCTCCGCAGCCCCGTACAGGCCCCTCCGCGGCCCCGTCTGGCCCCGCTACGGCCCCGTCTGGCCCCGCTACGGCCCTATCTGGCCCCGCTACGGCCCCGTCTGGCCCTGCTACGCCCCCGTCTGGCCCCGCTACGGCCATGTCTGGCCCCAATACGGCCCCGTCTGGCCCCGCTACGGCCCCGTCTGGCCCCTTTACGGCCCCCTTTAGGCCCCTCTGCGGCCCCGTCGCCACCTGCGGCCCCGTCGCTACCTGCGGCCCCGCCGCCACCTGCGGCCCCGTCGCCACCTGCGGCCCCGCCACCACCTTCGGCCCTGTCACCACCTGCGACCTCGCCGCCACCTGCGGCCCCGCCGCCCAGCGCCCGAACCGCCGAGCAGCTGAGCCACCAGACCGCCGAGCCGCTCAGCCGCCAAGCCGCCCAGCAGCCGAGCCGTACCGCAGCCGAGCCGCCGAACCGCCGAGTCGCCCAGCAGCCGAGCCGCCTGACCGCCGAGCCGCCAAGCCGCCGAGCTGCCGAGCTGCTCGACCGCCTCACTTGCCTGGTAAGAGCAGATCTCTTCCACTACACTGCCCTGCCCCACTTTACTCACATACTGTCTACTGCTGTTATGGCCTCCCCTAGCATTCTCACCTTTGACGTTGAGGGTCGGGCAGTGCACTTTGAGGTCTGGGTAGATGATTTGCAGCTTTTCCTGCACTGCAATAGGGCAGACGGCCTCTCCCTGTTTGACCTCACTTCTGGTGCCTCTGCTTACCCTGTTGCTGATGCTGGCGCCACTGTTTGCTCACAGTGGGCCAAGCGCGATGCTGCTGCTCGCCTTGCTGTGCGCTGCCACTTACCGACGTCTGAGCGTGCACACTTTAGCCAGTACAAGAGTGCTCAGACCTTGTACGACGCTGTAGTTGCACGCTACTCATCCCCTGCCACTGCTGCACTGAGCCGCCTCATGCTACCGTACCTCTTCCCTGACCTTGCTACCTTTCCCACTGTCGCTGACCTCATTAAGCACCTCCGCACTAGTGACGCTCGCTACCGCGCTGCGCTTCCTGCTGATTTCTGCGCCAAGAACCCCCCCCCATGTCCATCACACTCTACTATATAGTCACCCGGCTCTTAGACTCTCTTCGCGTAGTCAGGGACCACTTCCTCTCAGATTGCCCCACCACTCTCACTGTTGACCTCCTCGAGAAGGCCCTCCTAGCGATAGAGAAGAGCATAGTCGCTGTAGGAGCCTCTCGTGGTGACCCTCGCACCCCTGTCTTTGAGGGGTATTCTCCCTCCCCCCTCTTGCCCTCTATTGCCTCTGCTGCTGCAGCCGACCTCGTTGGTTTCGAGTCAGTCGGCGCTGCGTCTGCCCCAAGCGGGAGACGCCGCACCGGCAAGGTCAAGGGGGGCAAGGGCGCTGGAGGGGCTGGAGGGGGAGGTAGAGGTGGTGGTGGAGGCAGTGGAGGCAGTGGGGGTGGTGGTGGGAGTGGTGCCAGGGGTGGCAGCGGCGGCGGCAATCAGAACATTATAGCTTATACATTTGTGTAGGCTGTTGTGGGGTAGCCCATAAGGGGTACAACCCAATTAGGGTTAGTACTTGTACCCAACTGTTTCATAGTTCATTCATCTATTCTCATTTCTTGTTAGCGGCAACACTGGAGGAGGCAGAGGCGGTGGAGGTAGCGGAGGGAGCAGAGGCGGTGGAGGTGGCGGAGGTGGAGGGGGCGGCGGAGGCGGCGGCGGCGGCGGAGGCGGCGTCGGTGGTGGAGCGGGTCGCGACTCTGCGCAGAGGAGTGGCGCCTGTGGTGGTCAGCGCCAACAGCAGCGGAGTGGTGTGACCCTGTCCCCTCACCAGCTTCATGAGAGGTACACTACGCGTTAGCGAGGTGGGGGTTTTGGTCCCTGCGCTTACGTCCTTCGTACCGGCGACCGAGCTGGTGAGCACTGCGGAGGCCCGCACTCCACCTAGCGTTGCTTTGGTCGCCTAACGGACGCGTGGCGTTGCCAGTTCCCTGAGGCGTCAGAGATCCCTCGCTGGGAAGATACTATTCTTGCTGCCATGTATGCCATTGATACTAGTGTTGAGGGTGCCTGTTACCTGTGTGTACCGCTTGACCCGGGCATTGAGGCCGCTGCTCTAGGTGCTGGTGAGGCTACTGCTCTAGGTACTAGTGCGTCTGCTGCCCCAGGTGCCAGTGCGTCTGCCGCCCCAGGTGCTGGTGAGTCTGCTCTCTCAGGTACTACGTCGGCTCAGGCCCTCCACACCTTCACCCTGGACTTTGGTGCGTCACGCTCCTTCTTTAGGGACCGCACCACTCTTACGCCGCTCAGTCGGCCGGTTGCACTCTCCCTGGCAGACCCGTCTGGGGATCCTGTTCTTGCTAGCTTCTCCACTGTCCTCCCGTGTCCGGCGGCCCCCTCTAGTACCCTGTCTGGTCTCTACCTCCCCTCGTTCTCTACGAACTTGGTGAGTGGAGCGGACCTACAGGATAGGGGGGTTGACCAGTTCACTCCTCCGAGTCAGCGAGTGACCCACTGCACGTGTGCTCGGACAGGCCGACACTTGGCCACGTTCACCCGTCGGCCAAGGTCGAGCCTGTACACCCTTACTACTGAGTCTCCTCCCGCTGCTCAGTCTGCCCAGGTAGCTGCGTCGAGTTAGGTGTTTGCTGCAGCGTCCAGGTCTGGTCCTGAGTCTGCTCCCTGCTCGTGTCGTCTGCTGTCCCACCAGACTCTCCTTTGGCACCACCGCCTTGGTCACCCCTCCTTGCCTCGTCTCCAAGGCATGGCCCCCCGTGTCCTTGTCTCTGGTCTCCCTCGGTCTCTCCCTCCCCTTCCTCCAGGGCCAGGCCCTACCTGCGTCCCCTGCGTTGAGGGGTGACGGCGCGCCGCCCCTCACTCCTCCGAGGTTCCGCCAACAGAGGCTCCGCTTCAGACTCTCCACATGGACGTGTGGAGCCCAGCCCGCGTCAGTGGGCAAGGGCGAGAGCGGTACTTTCTGTTGGTGGTTGACGACTACTTGCGTTACACCACATTCTTCCCCTTGCGCAGCAAGGGTGACGTCAATGAGGTGTTGATCGACTGGATCTGCGCAACTCGTCTCCAGCTAAGAGAGAGTTTCGGCTCGGACTTTCCTGTTCTGCGTCTGCACTCGGACAGAGGCGGGGAATTTTCCTCTGCTCGTCTGGGAGCCTTCTGTCGTGCACAGGGCATCCGCCAGACCTTCACGCTTCCGGCCTCTCCACAGCAAAATGGGATTGCTCAGCGCCGCATTGGCATGGTCATGGACGTCGCTCGTATGTCCATGATGCATGTGGCTGCCCCCCATTTTTTGTGGCCGTTTGCAGTTCAGTACGCCGCGCATCAGCTCAACCTTCAGCCCCGGGTCTCCTTGCCAGAGACCTCCCCCGCCTTGCGATGGACCGGGAAGGTTGGCAATGCGTCTGCATTTCGGGTCTGGGGATCTCGGGCGTTTGTCCACGACTTGTCTGCGGACAAGCTGTCCCCCCGTGCTGTTCCCTGCGTCTTCCTTCTTGCTGCTAGTCCTTCGGTCACGCGCCTTCTTGCTACTGTTGTCAGTGACCCTTCCTTTGAGTCCACTCCTGCGTCTGCTCTAGTTGCTAAGCTTGTCGACTTTGCTGCTCGCTGTCGTCTAGACTACGCTGCCAGTCTCGTTGCTGAGTCTGAGTCTGTCTGTCCTCCGTCCGTCGGGAGTGAGTGTGCTCTTAGCACGGACGTCCTTGAGGACGGGCAGGAGGAGTTCTAGTGCTTTGCGGCTGCTTTGCCCCATCTTGTGTCCACGCTGATTGCCCGTGAGGGAGACACGGATGCACCAGACATCCCAACTCCTCGATCGTACGCTGAGGCGATCGAGGGTCCCTACTCCTCTCAGTGGCAGTCACCCATGGACGCAGAGATGGCTTCCTGGAAGTCCACAGGCACCTACGTCGACGAGGTTCCCCCACCTGGGGCGAACATCGTCAGTGGCATGTGGATTTTCAGGGTGAAGCGGCTGTCGGGTTCTCCGCCTGTCTTCAAGGCGCGTTACGTGGCTCGAGGCTTCAGTCAGCGGCAGGGAGTTGACTACTTTCAGACCTTCTCTCCCACCCCGAAGATGACCACTCTTCGGGTGCTGCTGCACAAAGCCGCTCAGCGCGACTATGAGCTTCACTCTCTTGACTTCATCATAGCTTTCCTGCAGAGCAGCCTGCACGAGGAGATCTGGCTGCGCCGCCCTCCAGGCTTCACTTGGTCGTTTCCTCCTGGTACCCAAAGGAGCCTCCGGCGGCCAGTCTACAGTCTCCACCAGGCGCCCCGTGAGTGGCACGACACACTGAGGACTACACTTGCGGCTCTTGGGTTTGCTCCTTCTATAGCGGACCCGTCGCTGTTTCTTCGCACCGACACTTTGCTGCCGCCGTTCTACATCCTCGTGTACGTCGACGACTTGGTCTTTGCCAGTGCTGACACAGCTGGACTCGCCCACGTGAAGTCCGAGCTGTAGAAGAGACACACGTGCACGGACCTGGGTGAATTGCGCAGCTACCTTGGCTTGCAGATCACCCGGGACAGAGCACGGCGCACGATTACCCTGACTCAGTCACACATGGTGCAGTAGGTCCTTCAGCGCTTTGACTTCACATACTCCTCGCCTCAGGCCACTCCTCTGTCTACTCGCCACTCGCTCTCAGCTCTGCCTTCGGATGAGTCCGTAGAGTCGAGTGGCCCGTACCTAGAGCTTGTTGGCTGCCTCATGTACCTGATGACCTGCACACGACCTGACCTTGCATACCCTCTTAGCATCTTGGCACGCTATGTTGCTCCTGGGAGACACAGACCAGAGCACATGGCTGCAGCGAAGAGGGTGTTGCGCTACGTGTGCAGTACGTCAGGCATGGGGCTAGTGCTTGGAGGGCGACGTCGAGTAGTCCTCACAGGTCACGCTGACGCTTCTTGGGCTGACGACCTGGCTCTGCAGCGGTCGTCACAGGGTTACACCTTCAGCCTTGGCTCCGGCTCTGTTTTGTGGCGGTCTACCCGCGTGTCTTCTGTTCTCAGCTCCAACTATGAGGCTGAGATCTACGCAGGGGCCATGAATGCACAGGAGCTACGCTGGCTCACCTACCTGCTGACAGACCTAGGAGAGCCGCCTCGTTCTCCTCCAGTTCTGTACGTAGACAACAAGGCCATGCTGGCCTTGTGTCGAGAGCACAGAATGGAGCACAGAACGAAGCACATTGCTCTCCGCTACTTCCTGGCTCGTCAGCTGCAGCAGCGTGGTTAGCTTCGTCTCACCCACGTGGCCTCTGAGGCAAACACTGCTGATATCTTCACCAAGGCCCTTCTGCCTTGTGATCATCAGCCCTTCTGTACTTTGCTATGTCTTGTGCCTACCTGGCCTCACTTACCCACTTCGTGATCTTGTTTGTACTGTACTCTTTCTACACTTGTTATTGCTTGTTTACCTTTATATATATGTTCTTGCATGTGAACTGGCCTTGTGGCCTTACCCTTGTGCTCGGACTGTGTGGTGACTTTTTGATCCACACTGAGCTTGCTTTGCTTTGCTTGACTGGTCTTGTTACCGCTTGTTCTCCCCCACTTTGCCTATGGGGGTGTGTCAGAACATTATAGCTTATACATTTGTGTAGGCTGTAGTGGGGTAGCCCATAAGGGGTACAACCCAATTAGGGTTAGTACTTGTACCCAACTGTTTCATAGTTCATTCATCCATTCTCATTTTCGTCAGCATCGGCATTCACGGCCTCCTCATCAAACATGGTTCGGACTTCTTCCTGGCTGCTGGACAGCGGCGCATCTTCCCATATATGCTCTGATCGCTCGCTTTTTTCATCTCTCCAGCAGCCAACTGATGATATTATTGTTCGTTTTGGTGGTGGAGAAACTTCCGAGGTCTTGGGAGTCGGCACGGTGGTGGCTACTCTTCCGTCACAAACCTTGGAAACCACCATCCAGCTAAACAACGTTCCGATTCTCCCTTCATGGGTCCACAACCTGCTCTCAGTTCATGCACTTGGAGCTGCCGGCGTTTCCATTTCCTTCCCCACTATAGAGCGGGTTGAGCTCAAAACTGATGAGGCACATATTGGTGAGGGCTTTACCCGCAACAATCTGTTTTATCTTCAGCTGCATCATGGGAGCAGTGCCGCCCCCCGCATCAACTTAACGGCATGTCCACCACCACCTCCTCATACCTTTGGCATCGCGGTTTCGGGCATCTTAACATGCAGGACATGTCAACACTTCATCGGCAGCAGCTGGTCACCGGTCTTAAACTCTCCTCCTCTTCAATTCCCCAATGCATGTCGTGTTATCGTGGGAAACAAGCGCATCAACCATTTGACGTGTCCTATTCTCGCACCACAGCACCGCTCCAACTTATTCATTCAGATATTGCTGGACCGTTTTCATATGGAACTACCATTAGAGGCGCTCGCTACCTTCTCACCTTCATCTACGACTATTCCCGCCACATTACCGTCTATCTCCTACGTCATCGTTCAGTGGCATTTTCATGCTTCAAAGATTACATCACTCGGGTGCACAATATGCATTCCCCTAGGACCATCAATGTGTTTCGCTCCGATGGTGCCTTGGAGTTCAATTCCGACGCCTTCACTTCATTCCTTAAAGCTCATTGCATCGCTCGACACCGCTCTACGCCGTACAGACCCGATCAAAACGGAGTTGCTGAATGTGCCAATCGGACTATACATGAGATGGCACACATAGACAAAGGATGGTGGGGTGACCCCGCTCTCACTGCTGCCTATCTCCAAAATCATGCCATTCGTCGGGGTGGTTCAACTTCTAAGGCTCCCATAGAACTATGGACCGGTGCACGTCCGAACGTATTACGCCTCTACATCTTCGGTTCACCCGTTTCAGTCCTCATTCCTCCGCAACGGTGCTCTAAGCTCGACGGCCGAGGCACGGCCGGCATCATGGTTGGGTATGGTCATCTTGACCGCACCAAAGCTTATCACAGCTATATCCTATCTCAGCACCGTGTCACACTTTCTCATAATATCATCTTCATGGAGACCTCTTCACCACCTTGTTAGAGGGCCCTACAACAGCAAGGGCCCTCGATCACCTTTGACTTGGCAGGTCGACGCCTAACGACTGAGTCTACTCGGCACCGATGAATGAGTTCAGTGAAGGTCGGGTGTGACTACGTGTGACTATGTGCAACTGCGCAGGAGTTCGCATGAAGAAGCGAGAGTCCGTGGGAGTCGTTGGTGCTTCCTTGAGAGTCGCACCACTCCTTGCTGTGTTGGTGGAGTGGTGTGCACGGAAGCGAGACGTCGATGCTGAGTTGGGTTGGGAAATTGGCGAGGCGCGTTCGCTCACCCACACACCACTTTCGTGGGGTTGGGTTACTCGCAGCGCCCACGCAACCTCTTGTGAAACCCTCGCCTGCCTATATATGTTTGTGTTGCTTGTGTGTTTGATATATTTTTTCTATGTTCCTAGTGAAGTCCAAATGCTACTTCAATTCTCACCAAGTCCTTAGAGGCAAACGCTACCGAAACTCTACCAAGTTGCTGGCGCAACATCATCTCCATAGCAGAAACTCTCTCGTTATCGCTACGCTCTCTAATAGATTCCTTCATGGTGCGGTGAGCGTGGAACGAACACGCTTAGATTTCTGTCGTCGTTGATATTCGCGTTCGTATACTCGCCTTGGCGTGCGGCGTTAGTGAAGGGCGCTTATTAATCTAAGTTGAACCTCTCTTGATTTCCCTCCAGTTACGTTCTCGGACCCAAGGATAGGGCGTTTGGTAATTTATTACCACTCGTCTGAGGACCCTTGTGAGGTGACCCCGAGACGAGGGATTTAAGGAAGGGGCACTTTATTTTAATTTGTGGTACCTTATAGAGACGTCGTAGAGGATGAGTACTGAGGAGGCGAATGTGGAGGCCGGTAATTTGCACGCTCTAGAGGAGGATCTCGTGGCCCGTCATTCTCGTGGTGAGATTAGTGATATCGAATACGAGCTAATGTTGGAGGGATTGCGCTCGCGTCGGCGTCGTGAGCACCCTTCGCCACGTGTAGAGAATGTTGAGCAAGTTGCGGGAGGTACTAGAGCGTGGGATATGGCTGTCGATGGCAGAAATAGCGATGACGAGGAGTTTGATGGGTTGATGTCGCGTGGGGTCCTGCGAAGACCAACTCGGTTTAGTACGGCTAGCGTCGGCGGTGTACAGGAGCGTGTTCATCGTGCAGCAGCGTCACGAGAGCATGCGAATGTAGGACGGCGAAGCGTTGCTGGGGGAGGAATTGCGGAAGAGTTCGATAGTGAGACTATGCCGGGCGTTACCCCGATTGGATCGATGTCGAGGGACGAGGGAATAGCCCCCAACTATGGCTACTTCAGATTCACTCCATACAAGATCGTTGTCACTAGTCCGTTAGAAGGACGTCACGACCTGTCGACGTAGACAGAATCAATCGAGCCGCAGCTTGAGATCGCTCAGCTAAAGCGATTCATAGATGGCACCACCCCTATTCCACCATCGCGTGCGCTTGCGCATCTCTCTCAGTTCCGCGCGATGCAGTTGCTGACATTCACCACCATTTCCCGATGTTGCTCCCCAACTGTACAGATCGCCCTTAAGGCGTGTCGCATGAAGGTTGATGCCGGCTATCAGGCATGGCAGTTTATTATGCGCACGTACATGGCAAAGGACGATCTGTACATCGGTCAGTTAGAGCAGGCGCTCACTAACCTCGAGATGGGAGAGCACAAGTCCGCTACGTCCTATTGCAACCGTGCGCAACAGATCCTAGTGAGCCTGAGGATGGCCGGCGTAGATTACTCACAAGCGTCGTACATCACTCACATTGTGAAGGGGTTGCCGCAGCAGTACAGCCTCTTACGCAGGATGCTGAAGTTACCGCAGGTGCGCAAGGAGTTGGACGAGAACACCCTCGCTAGCTACATCATCGAGGAGGAATGTACGCTGGCGTCAGAGGGACGAAAGGACCAATTCCTTCCCCAGGCTAACCAGGTCTTTACCAAGAAGGGTAAGCCCCAATTCCAGCAGAATTCGTTCCCTTCCCCTCCCACTACGGCACAGCAGCAGCAGCCTAAGAATGGGGGTGGGCTTGGTGGGGGAGGGGAGAAGTGGAAAGGGGGTAAGGATGGCCAGGCGAAGGGGGGGAAAGGGGGTTTCAAAGGGAAGTGCTATGTGTGTGGACAAATAGGGCATGTTGCTAAGTACTGTCAGCAGCGGGCGGATAAGGAGGCAGACACCGGTGGAGAGGGCACTGGAGGTAGCAGCGGAAAGGGGGGTGATGGCTCTAAGGGGAGCGGGCAATCATCATGTGTGATGGTGAAGCCCGTTGTGGAGCAGACTCCTCTCGTTGTGCTAGAGCCTGAGGGCAGGGAGGGCTTACAGGCTGTTGCAGCTGCTGTGAAGGCAAACCCGAGCGTCGTGCTGCTTGATAGCGGATGCTCCCACCATCTCATGGGAGATCGTTCTGCCTTTGTGGAGATGAGCAGCGGCGGCATTATTAAACAGGTTACTGGCTTCAACGGTGCGCTTCAGGAGGTGCAGGGGCGGGGCACAGTCGCTCTTCTTGGAGAGGGGGGCAGGCGTGTCTTGGTGCCGGACGTGCTGTACGTACCAGGAGTGCAGGCGAGTCTTCTCTTTGCTGGGCAGCTGCGTGAATGTGGTGTGCAGCTGCTGGATGCCGGGGATGTGACTTTGCTGCGGGCACCAGATGGATCGCTCCTTGGTCGTGCGAAGTTCAAGGGGCGTGTTCTCTCCACGAACTTCCAGCCGTGCTCGACGCAGCAGCAGGAAGGCGAAACGGTGGCACTTCGTACCTTGGCGACGGGCGTGCGGTCTAAGGGGGACCTGTGGCATGCGCGTATGGCACACGTTGGTATTGATGCCATCGAGCGCACAGCGGCTCACGGGTCAGTGAAGGGCTTGGATTTGGAGAAGGGGGGCAAGTCAAGCATACCTTGTGTTTCCTGTGTTGGGGGAAAGATCACTCGTCATACCTTTCCTTCTGTGGGAGAGGAGGAGGATGAGTTGCTCGGGGTGGTGCATGCTGACCTGTGTGGCCCTTTCCGTGAAGCAGCTAAAGACGGCAGCCGCTACTTCTTGGTGCTGAAGGATCGCAAGACGCGATATGTCTGGGTCTACCCTTTGGCCCAGAAGAGTGATGCGCTGGCGGCGTTCCAGAAGTGGCTCCCGATGGCAGAGCGACAGTGCAAGACCATGGTGCAGGTGCTGCGCACTGATCGGGGTGGCGAGTTCCTGGGGCACGACTTCACGCTCTTCCTCGACGGTAAAGGCATCATCCATGACCTCACATGCCCGTACACGCCGAAGCAGAACGGGATGGCCAAGAGGGAGATGCGCAGTATTGTGGAGGCGGTGCGGACGATGTTGCACATGGGTGTGCAGCATCACTGGTGGCACCTGGCGTTGGCTCAGGCCGTCTGGGTGCGCAACCGCGTGGAGCACGCCTCACTACCCTCTGGTGTGACGCCGTACGAGCTCGCCTTCCGACGCAAACATGATGTCAGTATGGTGCGTGTTTGGGGCTGCATGCTGCAGTACATGGTACCACGGTCGCAGCGTGGGGGGACGCTGGCGCCTAAGGCTCGCTGGGGGTTGCACTTGGGTGTGTCAGCTGCGAGCAAAGGCTGGACCGTGCTGGACTTGGAGTCCAACCGCCTCATCACCACTGTGGAAGCTGTGTTTTATGAGACCATGTCCCTAGCAGGATGGAAGGCTTGGCATCAGCAGGAGCATGGGGGGCGTTCGATGCCCTATGAGCCCCTTCCCTCACTCTTCCCGATCACTCTCGAGGAGGCGGAGGAGGAGGAGGAGGTGGTCGCACCTCCTGCTATGCCCTATGTCCCTACCTCGGTCCCCACCCCTCCTCCGCCTTCAGTCTACCCGCCTTCTTCCTCCTCACCCCCCTTGGCTTCCCCTAGTCCTCCTGGTATTCCATCTCCCCTTCCACCCTCCATCCCTCCTGCACCTGCTCCGCCCTCCTCTTCGTCTTCCATGGCGCCGCCCGTTGGTGGGGGGGGGATGGAGGTGCCACCGTCTGTGGAGATCACCGACGGGCAGCGCCTTGAGACTGAGCAGCTGCAGGACGAGAGCAGTATGGATGGAGTACAGCAGACAGGGGAGCAGCAGATTGGGGAGCAGCAGATAGGGGAGCAGCAGAGTGGGGAGCAGCAGATAGGGGAGGAGCGGATTGAGGAGCAGCAGATGGTGGACCAGCAGCTAGGGGAGCAGCAGACAAGGGAACCGCAGACAGGGGAGCAGGAGATGTGGGGAATCAGAGATGGTGGTCGTGTGTTGGTTTCTGGGACGACCACTGCACCAGTGCGTCGCTCCACTCGCATCACTCGTGGTGTCCCGCCTGTTCGATACGCTTGGGCTGTAGTGGTTGAGCCAGCGGGCTTGGATGACGAGGAGGAGGACGAGGAGTGGACTGACCTGGACCCGGACGTTGCAGCTGATCCTGAGAGGCAGTGGGACATAGCGAAAATGACAGTGAAGGAGGCCTTGGACTGCTGGAAGGGCGACAAGGTGAAAGAGGCGATGGATGAAGAGATGCGGAGCTTGATTGAGCAGGGGACGTGGGAGTTGGTTCCGCGTCCGCCAGGGGTGAATGTGATGAAGAACCGCTGGATTTTGAACACCAAGTTCCGACCTGATGGGATAGTCGAGCGTGAGAAGGCGAGGCTGGTGGAGAAGGGGTTCACGCAGGTGGCAGGGGTGGACTATGAGGAGACGTACGCCCCGGTGGGAAGCTATGTGACGGCGCGTGTGCTTCTAGCGATTGCAGCTGCACTTGATTTGGACCTGATGCAGCTCGATGTAAAGAACGCGTTCCTCCATGGCGTGCTGGACCGAGACATTTATATGGAGTAGCCGAGCTACTACGAGGATGGGACTCCTCGTGTCTGTAAGTTGGTGAAAATTCTGTATGGGCTCAAGCAGAGCCTGATGCTATGGTATGAGGCCTTGGATGGGGTGCTGCTTGGGGCTGGATGGAAGAAGAGCAAGGTGGATGAGGCTCTGTACTTCAAAACTGATGCTGATGGGGAGATGTGCTGGCTGCTGGTGTATGTGGATGACCTGCTTGCTGCCAGCCGCAGTCAGAGCATGCTTGGGGAGCTGCGTGAGCTGCTGCAGAGTGCGTTTCAGCTGCGGGAGATTAGCCCTGTGGAGAAGTATCTGGGGTTGCAGCTGATTTGGGACAGGCCTACGAGGAGGCTGTGGCTGCACCAGGGGGCCTATGTGGACAAGGTTCATAGGCGCTTCTTTGACGGGGAGCAGCCGCTGCGAGTGCCTCGCACCCCTCTTTCCTCTGACCCTTTCAGTGTGCAGACCTTTGAGGATGTGGGATGGCAGTCTCGTCAGGAGGAGGAGTACAGGCACAAGGTGGGATCCTTGCAGTTCGCGGCCTGTACCACCCGTCCCGACATCTCGTTCACCTGCAGCAAGCTGGGGTCGGGCCAGACTGTGCGGAGTGATCAGCACTAGAAGGAGTTGGACCGGTGCTTGACGTACTTGGTGGGGAGCAGGGATGTGGCGCTGGAGTTTGGTGGTGGGCCGGAGTCCTTGGAGCTGGTGGGCTACGCCGATGCTGATGATGCAGGGGACAAGCAGAACAGGACCAGCACAGGTGGCTATGTCTTCGTGCTCGGGGGTGCTGCTGTCTCATGGGCAAGCCAGAGGATTCGTTGCGCCACCCTCTCCTCCACTGAGTCTGAGTATGTTGCTGCTGTGGAGGCTGGGAAGGAGGCGCGCAGGCTGCGCTTCCTGCTGGCAGAGTTTCAACTGCTGAGGAGTGAGGAACCCACTACTCTCTTTGTGGACAACTCCTCCGCCATTTCAGTGGCAGGTGGCATGGGGCTCAAGGGGAGCCTCAAGCACATGGAGCGTCGCCACATGTGGCTGCAGCACATGGTCAAGCGCAGGAAGCTGCAGTTGCAGTACATCCCTACGAGCGAGCAGCCTGCTGACTACCTCACGAAGGCATTGCATTTCCCCGCCTTCAGTCGTTGCTTCGAGGCTGTGGGGCAGGTGAGGCTTTCGAGTGAGGGGGGTGAGACCTAAACACTCCATGATGTGGATGGTGCCATGGCCTACCCATGGCTGGTGCGGTGCGTGTTTGCACTTTGAGAGTGCTTCGTTTGTGTGTGTTTCCCTTTGTTCTGGCGTGTACGTGTGTATGCATGCCCTGTGATTATAAAGGGCCTTGCTGTAGTATGGCAGGGGAGTGTTAGAGGGCCCTACAACAGCAAGGGCCCTCGATCACCTTTGACTTGGCAGGTCGACGCCTAACGACTGAGTCTACTCGGCACCGATGAATGAGTTCAGTGAAGGTCGGGTGTGACTACGTGTGACTATGTGCAACTGCGCAGGAGTTCGCATGAAGAAGCGAGAGTCCGTGGGAGTCGTTGGTGCTTCCTTGAGAGTCGCACCACTCCTTGCTGTGTTGGTGGAGTGGTGTGCACGGAAGCGAGACGTCGATGCTGAGTTGGGTTGGGAAATTGGCGAGGCGCGTTCGCTCACCCACACACCACTTTCGTGGGGTTGGGTTACTCGCAGCGCCCACGCAACCTCTTGTGAAACCCTCGCCTGCCTATATATGTTTGTGTTGCTTGTGTGTTTGATATATTTTTTCTATGTTCCTAGTGAAGTCCAAATGCTACTTCAATTCTCACCAAGTCCTTAGAGGCAAACGCTACCGAAACTCTACCAAGTTGCTGGCGCAACATCATCTCCATAGCAGAAACTCTCTCGTTATCGCTACGCTCTCTAATAGATTCCTTCACACCTTCCGATGATCCTCAAGAACCTCGATCGTCATCTCCACCACCCATGTCATCCTCTCCGCCTCCTTCTCCACCACCTTCCCTCTCAGCCCCAACCTCCCCTCCCTCTCCTTCACCTCCCATGCCCTCTTCCACCACCCTCCTCCCACCATCTCCAAATCTGCCCGCACCAGCCACCTCCCCTCCTCCTCCTTTGTTTTCCAACCTTCCTCTGCCCTCGACGCCGCAAGACTTCCGCCTTCCATCCCTCTCCTCTCCTTCTTCACCTCGGCATCCCCCTTGAACATCTATTTCTTCACCACCATCACCTTCAGCTCCTTCCAATCCTTCACTTTTCTCACTGCTCAAGGTCTTACCCTCTCCTTCTGAACCCATTGACTTCACCCTTCCTCCTCTTTCCAAGACCTCTGCTAGTGCCGCCCTTCATCATCACTACGAACCTCAAACCATTCATGAGGCCCGCACGGGCCTGGTAATGCTGAATGGATCAAGGCTGCTGATGCGGAACTCGCTGCCCTGCATGCTAATGACACTTACGGCGTTACTCCTCGACCACCCATGCGCAAGCCGATTCCATGCAAATGGATTTTCAAGGTCAAGGAGCATGCTGATGGTTCTATTGAACGCCGCAAGGCCCGCCTTGTTGTCAAAGGTTTCAAACAACGTGATGGTGTTAATTTTCATGCAGCTTTTGCCCCTACCGTCCGCTTCGCCACCCTTCGCCTCTTCCTCACCATTGTTGCCGCTTTCGACCTGGATGTCCATCAGCTGGACATTTTCAATGCCTTCCTCAACGGTACTCTTGATGAAATTCTCTACATGATGCAGCCTCCCGGTTATGAACTTCCGGCGGTCCATGGTGTTGAGCAAGTTTGTCTCTTGCACAAATCATTGCACGGGTTGAAGCAAGCGCCCGTGGTGCTGGTACCGCAAACTTTGTGAAGAGCTTACTGCCTTTCACCTTTTGCTGCCAGTGCAGACCCCGGCCTCATCATCGCTCCTCCTCAATCTCCTTATCGGCCTACAGCTGCATCTTTCTTCGTGCTTCTCGTCTATATTGACGACCTCATCATTCTTTCCTCCTCTTCTCTTCTTTCCTCGTTCAAGTGTGACCTTTCATCTCGCATCAAGCTTCATGATCTCGGTCCTCTTTCCTACTACCTTGGCTTTCACATCACTCGTGATCGGACCTCCCGCACTCTCTACCTTCATCGATCCAAATTCATCACCTCCATCTTAGACACCTACTCATTACTCCACTTGACCCTGCTGTCACCCCCATGGACACCAAGTTTTAGCCATTCGTGACTTCTTCCCCACACTCCTCCTTTCCTTACACCTGGTTTGTCGGATCCATCATGTATGCCATGGTGGGTTCCCGTTCCGACCTCGCATATAGTGCTGGAGTTCTTGCTTGTCACCTTCATGATTGGTCTATTCCTCACGTCTCGGCTGCCAAACGCGTTGCTCGCAACTTGAAAGGGGCTACCTCGCTCGGGCTTCTCCTTGGTGGCATTCCCAACGCCCTTGAACTTCATGGGTGGTGTGACGCCTCTTGGGGACCGGAGGGAGAGCTCCGACACTCCGTTACATGCTACTTGTTCTTCCTCGTTCCGTCACTTATCTCTTGGCAGTCCAAACGTCAAGTTGTCGTTGCTACCTCTTCATGTGAAGCTGAATATTATTCTCCGGGCGCCGTGGTGCATGAGGCATTATGGCTTCAATCTTTCCTTACTGCACTTAGACTTCCCCCGACCAGCCCCACCCGCATCTCGTGTGACAACAACAGTGCCATCATTCTGGCCAAGGACAACGACATCTTTCATCAAGCAGCATTTCATTCGTGATCATATTGCCGACCACTCCGTCACCCTTCACTATGTTCCTACTCAAGACCCGTTTCTTCGCATCCGTGGTCTTCTCGGTCTCACCCATGTCTCCACTTGAAGGACCCTACTCCAGGGACATCCTTGAGGGGAGGTGTTGTGCAGCAAGTATGTCCCAGAGGGTAGATTCCCACCTTGGTCTGAGAGGTCGTGGGTTCAATTCTCAGCAGCTGCACCTTCCCTTCTCCTTATTCTCCACATTACATGTCCACACTCCACCACACTCCACCACAGTGAAGTGTGGTCACAGTTGGCATTGCCACCTGTCCACTAATCCCACACTCACCTTGCTGGCCTCTATAGTGTGCCATATGCTGTTATGTCGGCTGTTGTTCCAGCTTGGCCCACATGTGCAACATGAGGCCTCACTTGCTAGCTTGGCAAGGTTGGCTAGCCTTGCCCTCAGCATTGAGGTGCTGCACCTAGCCTCAAGAGTTCAGCCACATATATGTGGCTTCCCACTTCACTATGAATCATTTTTGGACAAGGACCTTGCTCTAGTCTTTAAGACTAGTACCATTTTCTTGCTAAGGATATTTCTTCTTCCCATCGTGCCCTAAGTTCACCGATCCATTTTCTTCAGAAGGCACGGGTAGGGAGAAGGCACGGGTAGGAGAAGGCATAGGTAAGGAGAAGGCACGGGTAGGGAGAAGGCACGGGTAGGGAGAAGGCACGGGTTGGGAGAAGGCACGGGTAGGGAGAAGGCACAGGTAGGGAGAAGGAACGGGTGGGGAGAAGGCAACAGCACGAAACAGTCCATGACAGGAGTCAGGTAAAGGGCGGCCAGTATGCAAGGGCAAAAGACAGGCAAGGAAAGGTGAAAGGAAGGAAGGCACGGATATGAGACAAGAAAGGGTGTGAAAAGAGAAACACTAGCATAGCTTGCCTTGTGCGAACGAACCCATGCAGGTGCGGAAAGCTGAACTCACCAGCAGAAGATCGAAGAGCGCTTTTGCGCCCTGAAGAAGGGGACGTTCAAGGCGAACCGAACAGGTGTTCGTTTTTTTGCTCTTCCCTACCCGCAGGGGAGTGTCACCTTCCGGATGGTGACCATGCACGGCCCATAGGGCTCGCCACAATGCTTGGGGCACGTGTGCTGGTGTGAGCACTCGTCCAGCGGGCGGATGCGGTTGCACTCCTTGGCACAGAACGTGGTGGCGTGTGCCCTGTCGTCCGCATGGCACCTGTGGGTGAGGATTAACGACAGAGTGGTTTGCTGTGATTCTTGTACAACACTTGTACTGGTGTGGCCTGGTCACTCCTTCAGAAGCCAGATTCTGTTTGTTGCTCTTGCTGGGGCAGACCACATCACTGTGTGTCGTGTCATTGGCATGGCGCCTGTTTGGGCTAAGAAAGGCCGACAAGAACCTTTGCAGCATTTGCTTCCCCTTAGAGGGCAAACATAGGGAAAACTGATCTTAACAATACGATGATGTGCATGCCGTGCACTTACCAATGATGTACATGCAGTGCACTTACCGATGATGTACATGCCGTGTACTTACCGATGATGTACATGCCATGCACTTACCGATGATGTACATGCTGTGCACTTATCGATGATGTACATGCCGTGCTTGGCGCGGGAGAGCAACACGTTGGTGCGGTTGGGGCTCTTAAGGAACCTGATGTCACCGTCTGGCTTGTGGCACACGAGCGAGATGATGATCACCGTGCTCTCCTCGCCCTGGAAGCTGCACACTCATCAACAAAAATGAGCGAAAATTCATTCTCACTCATTCATTCTCTGCCCGAACCACACGCAACAAACCACACGCTATAAGATGAGCAGGCTAGATGATAACCAGACTATCAATATTCTGATTGACCAAGCCAAACAGAAGCTTTCTCCTTTCCACTAGCCAGACATACTTGTCAATAGTAGCCAACCGCACTGCATCCTTCAGGTTTGGCGCAGCCACCCCAGGATCCCCAGTCTCCCCCGCCAGCTCCACCTCCCCGGGTACCCGCCTGCTCCGCTGCCTTCTCTACCTCCTCAGCATCGCCCTCCTCCAGGCGCACATCTACCACCTAAGGAAGCGCCTGGCGCAGCTTGAGCAGCTGACCCACATAGGGTGTGAGGATGGTGATCTCCCCTCCCGTGTACCCCTGCTGCAGCAGGTACGTGGCTAGCCCCACCACCATGGCTGCCTCGCCCACGTTCGACTTTGACTTGCCTCCCCCAGGTTGTCCCGGCTGCTCTCAGGGCTGTCGTGGTCCCAGAAGTGCAGATTCACCGCCATTCCCCGCATGTCCGGGTACCTGGGTGAGGGGTAGGAGGGATGGATGCATGGACTAATGTTTGTATGAATGTGGGTGGAGGAAGCACCGTGACACGCATGTGCTGCTGTGAGGAAAGAGGAATTACGCTACATTGCAGCAAGGGGCATAAGGTCCCTCAGTTGGCAGACGGTGTAGCAGATGGAGTAGACGGTGAGGCGAATCAATCTGATCATATCAGTAGCGTGGGAGTTGTAGTGACAACATATACATCAGCAGCACCTCCGCATGCATGCTACATACCCTTGCACAAACGGGTGGTCCCCCAGGTCGGGGTAGACGCTGTGGCAAATCAGATCCTCGATTTCCGGACGCATGTGGCGCTGGGTGGCGAGCATGTACACGGGGATGCGCTTGGAGAGCGCGAGGCGCTCAAAGAGAGAGACGTCCAGGTCGAAGCCCCAGTTTGAATCCTTGCTGAGGTCGTGCACCTCCACGTGGTCGCCTACCGTGTTTCAGTGGAGATCAGTAGAGGCAAAGGGACGGGGAATTCATGAATAGTTGGGGCAACCAACAAGGAAGTCTTTGCATGGCTGTTTCACGGTCACCCTTAGCTTGGGGCGCAGCTGCCTGTGGTGGCATGTCATCCATTTCCACACAAAGATTCAGAAGAGAATGTAACCATAAGCCCCGTCCTCAGCTCACACACCTCCACTTTTGGACGCAGCTGCAGGTGGAGGCGTGTTGCTACGAGCACACTGCTACCAAGGGAAGAGGCCGTGCAACCACAACTATGACCACAATTGACCACACCAGCAGCCCAAGGCATACCTATGAGAATACCTTGCTCGGTGTGCGGGATGAGGGAGGCGAGGGTGTGGGCTTTCCACACCTCAGCGGCTTCCTGGCATGCAACTCCAGCCCCAACAGCCCATGGTATACCTATGAGAATGACGTGCTGGGTCTGTGGGGTGAGCGACGTGAAGATGTGCGCCTCCAGCACCTCAGCGGCCTCCTCCACAATGATCATGCGCGGGCTGAGCGTTGAGATGAGGCGCTGCATCTTGGCGACCCCGGACGTGGTCATGCCCACAACCTGCGCCCTCCTCAGCACCTGCAGATCCTCCACCTGTTGTAGCTCGCTGCGCTCCCTCACCTTCCTTTACGTTTACTCACATGCACGTGCAAGCCACATGCAAACCAGGGAACACACATGACCAAGCCAGAACATTGCCTTGATGCCATTTTTGAAACGTGCACGTTTTCCACCTGCTTCATCTCGCTGCAATCCCCCACCTTCCTGCAAGCTTGCACGTGCCATAAACACACACACGCGCGCACATACCACCTCGTCCGCCCACCTCTACCACCTACATTCAACACGAGCACCACCGCCAGCACCACCACCACCAGCACATACTCTTCGAGTGATTCTCCACCTCTGCCTCGTTAACAACAGTGGCGGTGGCGGTGGCAGTGGCGCGCACCGCCTCCATCCGGAACCCGGATTCATTAAATCAGGCGTGCCAATGCGATCACCACCACCAGAGCGCCCTTCACACCGCCAGCACCACAATTCACACCACACCAGCACGGGCCATACCTGGCATACTTGTCCACCTCAGCCTCGATGGCAGCAGCAGCGGTGGCTTGCACCTCCCCCAGCTTCCTCCTCTCCCGCCCGCTCGTTGCCCACGGGTCCGCCAATCCCAGCAGCTCCCCCTGTGGTCACTCGCCTCATCCACCTCCACTCCCACCCACTCCTCCTCCTCTTCCTCCTCCTCCTCCTCCTCCTCCGCCTCCTCCCCCTCATCTTCCCCCATGCTCCTGTGCGCCTGTCTGCTGCCTTCATTCCCCCTGATACCTTCGTTCCCCCCGCTGCCTTGGTTTCTCCAGCTGTCAGCACCACCACGGGTTCATCAGTGTGTGGGCCTCGCCTGCTGTTGTGAACGCTCAAGTCATCAAATGCATGTGAGAGCTCGTCTTCCACACCGAGCAGTGCTCCTCCTGCCCCTCCTGCCCCTCTTCCCCCTCTCTCCCATCCCTCCCCTTGAGGTTGAAAGGCCTCGCTTCCATCGGATCCAGTTGCTCTGACCCACTTGCTGGTGAAAGAACCGCAAGGGGTCCAAAGAAACGAGCGGAGGTGGGAAGGAAAGGAACCCCCAGGGGATGTTTTATGTTTTGACATGTTCGCTTGTCTCACCTATAGCCATACCCAGATCAAGAGTCGGCAGTCAAACCGAAGGACTTCATGGCGATTTTGAGGCAATTGTTGCCACACGAGCAGAATAGAACGGTGATAAAGGCCACAAGTGGGAGGCTCTGTTTCATGGAAAGAGAAATTGACGGAAGAGAAACTTAAACTACAACCAGGTCATCCCAGACAGAGGTGATTTGCAACCGCTCCCATCCTTGCATCATTGAGCGCCACATAGGGCTCCACCTGCGCCCCGCCATCACCACCCATCCACGCACCTGAAACCCGTCTCTGTCTGCTGTGGTGGTGGGGTGCAGCAAGTGGAAGAAAACAGAGTGGTTGGCCATGAGGTGGGCCACGATGGAGCGCCACGTGATAGCCGCTGTGTTGCTGCTGCGCTGCTGCATAGCGTCGCTGTACGTGCCTATCACTTCCTCCACCTCGCCCAGCTTGTTGTGCACCTTGTAGGTCGAGTGCCGATATGCTGCTCACGCACGCGCACGCACACACAACAGAAGAATACATGCATACACATATGAGCCCATATCTAGCAAGTACAGGGCGAAAGGCTTCAGTTTTAAGGCGTTCCGAAGCTCAAAGGGACATGCCTCCAACTCGCCCAGCATAATGTGCATCTCGGCTGTTCACAAGCACGTGACCCAGGGACATCTGCAGGTCTATGTGGCAGCTGCTGGTGGTGCCTTGGGGCAAAGGGAGTGATGCTCAGGGGGGGTGCAACGCTGTAGGTTCTGAGGAGATGAAGGTTTTAGCAAGGGGAGGTGCAATGGACTGGACTACAGCCCACCATTGCCTCGAGCACATTGCTATGCCCGCACTGCAGCAACTGCACAAGGAGGAAGGGGTTAAGGGGCTGAAACTAGTAGTTGAAGAAGCAACCCACAAGTGTGTAACTTGCCTTTTGAGCAAGTTCACTCGGTTCCTACTCCATCCAGCGGCAGGTGGCGACAAGAAACTGCTGAAGCTAGTGCATATGGATGTGGTGGGCCGCTATTGGTGCTAGGGAAGCGTGGTGAGAAGTTCTTTCTCACCATTGGCAGAGGAGTGGGCTGGTGAGGAGATTGCAATGGCACACGAGGAGGAGAGTGCAATAGAGCTCCCCATGGTCAAGAGTGTGGAGCCAATAGCTGAGCCTGAAGAACCCCATCCTATAACACAAGTGATCCCCCCACTCTCCCCCAAAGGAGAACCCAAACCAAACCCCAACCCACAGGACGGACTTTCTCACCTATGATGACGCGGCAGATGCGAGCTGTCGCTGTGACGGGATCGAATTTCCACTCGAGAATGTTGCACTAAAGGTGAGTACAAGGCGTATTTATACTCAAAAATACATAGAAACAACAGATAATCCGAACCTTCGGGAACGCGCTCTTCTACAATAGATAATCACAAGTGCGCATAAGCACGCAAGCCCATTGGCACATTGGATTATGGCAAGATTACGCCTTGTATAATGTAAACGTCGGTGCCGAAAATACAGAATAAGTGAAACAATCGGAAAGCTCTAGAAAATAGAATAGTAGTTGGATTGAGGTGAAATAAAGTGCAAATGAAAGAGGAAGATAAGGAGAGTAGTAACAATAGGGAAATGAGAAATATGTCGAACATCGATGTACTCTCACACTTCCCCCCCTCGAGGCTAGGTGGTAGATGTAACACCCTGCTTGACAAGATAGTCGCGGAAAGAACGTCGGGTGTTACTCATGTCTTCTTCACAGACCCAGCTATCCTTAGAAGGATCATAGCCCTTCCAGCGTATGAGGAACTCTAGGGCGCCATGCTAACGACGACGATGTGCATGCACAGATTAAACCTCGTACTCAGGTTCATCATTCACAAGGACTGGAGGCGGTGGCGGAGGTTGGCGTCCCGTGTACAGCTTATTTGAATCCTAATAGGGTTGAAGAAGCTGCACGTGGAAGGCGTTATGAATCTTCTAAGTAGCTGGTAGGCGCAAGCGGAATGTGGCTGGAGTGACCTGCTCTTCTACGAGGAAAGGTCTGCAAAAGCAAGGTCGCAACTTGGATGGAAGGTGACGGAGGTTGAGGTTGCATGTGTCGAGAAGCACGTGGTCACCAACCGCAATGGTATGATCACAGCGATGGCGATCGGCCGAGCGTTTCTGTGAAGACTGTATGTCCTGCAGGCGCTTGTGTGACCGATCCTAAAGCTACTGCATTGTGGTAACGAAGTCGTGCGCGGGCTGGACAGTTGCAGGCACTATCGGCTGTTGTGGAGTTAGTGGATGTTGTCTGTAACAGAGGAAGAATGGGGTCTCTCCTGTTGCGGCATGCTTTGCATTATTGCAGGCGAAATCCAACATGGATAAATGCAAGTCCCACTTGCTAATGTTGTCCTTGCATGCTGCGCATAAGAGTTCTTCCACAATCTGGTTCAAGCGCTCTGTCTGCCCATCGGTCTAGGGATGATATGCACATGACATCGCTATGCGTGTCTCCATGAGTGACATGAGCTATTTCCAGAACTTGCTAGTAAACTTGGGGTCCCTGTCGGATATAAGGGTTGTTGGGATCCCGTGCTGTGAGATGATGTGTTTGATGAATAGCTGTGCCGTTTCCTCAGTGCGTGCGGTTATATGTGTCGACAAAGAGGTGTCGGTGCGCAGAAACATCGACGGGTTGGCAGTAGAAGGAGCAAACCCAAGAGCCGCAAGTGTAGTCCTCAGTGTGTCGTGCCACTCACGGGGCGCCTGGCGGAGACCGTAGACTAGCCACCGGAGGCTCCACTGGGTACCAGGGGGAAACGACCCAGTGAAGCCAGGAGGGCGACGCAGCCAGATCTCCTCGTGCAGGCTGCCCTGCAGGAAAGCTATGCTGAAGTCAAGAGAGTGAAGCTCGTAGTCTTGATGGGCAGCTATGTGCAGCAACACCCAAAGCGTGGTCATCTTCGGGGTGGGAGAGAAGGTCTGAAAGTAGTCAACTCCCTGCCGCTGACTGAAGCCTCGAGCCACGTAACGCGCCTTGAAGACAGGCGGAGAACGTGGCGGCCGCTTCACCCTGAAAATCCACATGCCACTGACGATGTTCGCCCTAGGTGGGGGAACCTCGTCGACGTAGGTGCCTGTGGACTTCCGAGAAGCCATCTCTGCGTCCATGGCTGACTGCCACTGAGAGGAGTAGGGACCCTCGATCGCCTCAGCGTACGATCGAGGAGCCGGGATGTCTAGTGCATCCGGGTCTCCCTCCGGGGCAATCAGCGTGGACACGAGATGAGGCAAAGCAACAGCAAAACAGTGGAACTCCTCCTGCCTGTCCTCAAGGACGTCCGTGCTAAGAGTACACTCACACCCGACGGACGGAGGACAGACAAACTCAGACTCAGCAACAAGACTAGCAGCGTAGTCTAGACGAGAGCGAGCAGCAAAGTTGACAAGCTCGGCAACTAGGGCCGACGCAGCAATGGACTCAAAGGAAGGGTAAGTGACAATAGTAGCCAAGAGACGCGTGACAGTAGGACTGGCAGCACGAAGAGAGTCAGACTCCGGGTCAGCAAGAGAAGGAAGAGAGGACTCTGCAGGAGACGGCAATGGGACACGCAGAGAAGCAGTGGAAGGACGCAGTGCCATCTGGTGTGTGCCTGGGACCGCGGGAGGACGCGGACGCGGAGCACAACGACTAGTGTGAGCAGCACGAACAGGCGACACAGGACGAGACGCAGGCTTACGACGCTCGGCAAGACCTCCAGTAGGACAAGTGTAGGGAGAAGGAGCAGGTAGGGGGGAGGCGGGCTGTAACTGTGACTGCGACTGGACAGGCTGTGGACACTCTAAGGGAGGAGCAGGACCAGTAGAGGGCGGGAGACCAAGAACCTGCTTAAGGAGCATAACGAAGTACGGCCTTGGCCGCGGAGCGCCTCTAGAACCAGCAAGTACGGCACGAGTACCCCCAGCGGCAGCACCAGCGCCAGCAGAACCTCCAGCTCGAACAGCGCCAACTCCAGTACCCTCAGACGCACCAGTGCCAGCATAACCACTAGCGCCAAAAACACCCCCAGCAGCTCCAACTCCAGCAGCTCCAGCAGCTCCAACAGCACCAACTCCAGCAGGACCGGCAGCTCCAGTACCGCCATTAGCTCCAGCAGTACCTCCAGCAGGACCAGCTCCAGCAGACCCAGCAGCACCCCCAGTCCCGGCAGCTCCAGTACCGCCAGTACGAGCACCTTCGGGACCCGCAGCAACAGTAGCACCTCCAGCTCCTGCAGCACGGCTCCAGCGCCGGGCAAACCACTCGCGCAGCTCCCGTGGAGGGAGTGGCTCCAGCCTTGACGAAGCACCGCGAGAGGCCACACGAGCAGACCCAGCACCCCCAGGCTCCATACCTCCAAGCTCAGCACCCCCAGGCTCAGCACCCCCAGACTCAGCACCCCCAGGCTCCACACCCCTGGACTCAGCACCCCCAGGCTCCGCACCGTCAGACTCAGAACCTTCAGACCCGGCACCCGCAGGCTCAGCACCTCTAGCAGCACCAGAGTGAACAGCTACCTCGACAGGCTCGACTGCGTCTTCCTGGGACACACCTGACGGGGCAGGACCCTGAGGTGGGAGGGGGTCTACTGGGGGAGGACCTGGCGCAAGGAAGAGCGTCAGCGGGGGGAGGGGCGCACTTCAGTAGGGGAAGAGACGGTAGTAAGGCACCGACTCGTCAAAGGTGACGTCCTGGGAGGACAGAACACCGTGCGAGGTGGGGTGGTAAAACTGCCACCCAGGCGCGTCAGGGGGGAAGCCAAGGAAGACGCAGAGAACAGCACGGGGGGACAACTTGTCCGCAGACAAGTCGCGGACAAACGCCCGAGATCCCTAGACTCGAAACGCAGACGCATCGCCAACCTTCCTCGTCCACCGCAAGGTGGGGGAGGTCTCCCCAAGGCTGAAGGTTGAGCTGATGCGCGGCGTATTGAACCGCAAACGGCCACAGAAAATGGGGGGCAGCCGCATGGATCATGGACGTACGAGCGACGTCCATGACCATGCCAATGCGGCGCTCAGCAATCCCATTTTGCTGGGGAGAGGCCGCAAGCGTTAAGGTCTGGCGGATGCCTTGTGCACGACAGAAGGCTCCTAGACGGGCAGAGGAAAACTCCCCGCCTCTGTCAGAGTGCAGACGCAGAACAGGAAAGTCCGAGCCGAAACTCTCTCTGAGCTGGAGACGAGCTGCGCGGATCCAGTCGATTAGCACCTTAGTGACGTCGCCCTTACTGCGCAAGGGGAAGACTGTGGTGTAACGCGAGTAGTCGTCAACCACCAACAGGAAGTTACGCTCGTGACCCTGGCCACGGACGCGGGCCGGGCCCCACACGTGCTGTAGATCAGCTCTACTCACCAAGTTCGTAGAGAACGAGGGGAGGTAGAGACCTGACAGGGTGCTAGAGGGGGCTGCCGGGCACGGTAAGACAGTGGAGAAGCTAGCAAGGACAGGACCCCCAGAGGGGTCCGCCAGGGAGACCGCAACCGGCCGACTAAGTGGTGTAAGCGTGGTGCGATCTCGAAAGAAGGAGCGGGAAGCACCCGAGTCAAGGGTGAAGGTGTGGAAAGCCTGAGTCGACGTGGTACGTGAGAGAGCAGACTCACCAGCACGTGGGGCAGCAAACGCACTAGCACCTAGAGCAGCAGCCTTACCAGCACCTAGAGCAGCAGCCTCAATGCCCGGTTCAGGCGGAACATATAGGTAACAGTCACCCTCAACACTATCAAACACAGCATACATGGCAGCAAGAATCACATTATAATCAAGATCAAAGATAGGAACCCCCGTCCTAGACAACTCTCCCCAGCGAGGGATCTCAGATGCCTCAGGGAACTGGTGACGCCACGCGATTGTCTGGCGGCCGAAGCAGCGCTGGATGGAGTGCGGGCCCCCGCACTTCTCACCAGCGCGGTCGCCGGTACGGAGGACGTAGGTGCAGGTACCAATACCCCCACCGCGCTGACGCCCAGCGTACCACTCATGAAGCTGTTGAGGGGACAGGGTCTCGACATTGCGCTGCTGCTGCTGGCGCGGACCACCACCGGATCCACTCCTCTGCGCAGAGCCGCGATCAGCTCCACCGCTACCACCGCCGCCTCCGCCACCTTCGCCGCCTCCGCCACCTCCGCCGCCTTCGCCACCTCCGCCGCCTCCGCTCCCTCCGCCACCGCCGACGCCTCCTCCGCCTCCACTGCTGCCACCGGCACTTCCAACCCCGCCACCACTCCCACCACCACCCCCACCCCCTCCACTGCCTCCACCACCACCTCCACTGGCCCCGCCAGCCCCTCCAGCGCCCTTGCCCCCCTTGCCTTTGCCGGTGCTGCGTCTCCTGCTACGGGTAGACGCAGCGCCGACCGACTCGAAACCAACAAGGTCGGCCGCAGCAGTAGAAGCAAAAGAGGGCAAGAGGGGGAAAGGGGAACACCCCTCAAAGAGGGGGGTGCGAGGGTCACCACGAGAGGCTCCTACAGCGACTATCCTCTTCTCTGCTGCTAGGAGACACTCCTCAATTAGGTCAACGGTGAGTGTGGTGGGGCAAACTGAGAGGAAGTGGTCCCTGACTAAGCCAAGGGAGTTAGGGAGCCGGGTGACTATGTAGTAGAGGGTGATGTACATGGGGGGGGGGGGGGGGGGGTTCTTGGCACAGAACTCAGCAGGAAGTGCAGCGCGGTAGCGAGTGTCACTAGTGCGAAGGTGCGTAATGAGGTCAGCGATTGTGGGAAAGGCAGCAAGGTCAGGGAACAGGTACGGCAGCATGAGTCGGCTCAGCGCAGGAATGGCAGGGGAAGAGTAGCGTGCAACTACAGCGTTGTACAAGGTCTTAGCACTCTTGTACTGGCTAAAGTGCGCACGCTCAGTGGTTGGTAAGTGGCGACGCACAAGAAGACGGGCAGCAGCATTGCGTGTGGCCCACTATGAGCAAACAGTGCTGTCAGCAGTACCACGCGGGGCAGGAGAGGCACCAGAGGTGAGATCGAACAGGGAGAGTCCGTTTGTCCTATCGCACTGTAGGAACAGCTGGAGGTCATCGACCCAGACCTCAAAGTCAACAACACGACCCTCAGCATCAAAGGTAAGGACATTGGGGGTAGCCATGACTGTAGTGGCCTAGCAGGGAGTGATCTCACTAGTCGGAGTAAGTAGGGCCGGGGCGCCCCGGTAGGAATAGTAGCGGCTCGACGGCAGGGCGGCTTTGCAGCTCTGATGCTGGGCGGCTCGGCGGTTCGGCTACTGGGCGGCTCGGCGGCTCGGCTGTTGGGCGGCTCGGCTCTCGGGCGGCTCGGTGGCTCGGTTGCTGGGCGGCTCGGCGGCTCGGCTGTTGGGTGGCTCAGCTGCTGGGTGGCTTGGCGGCTTGGTGGCTCAGCTGCTGAGCTGCTGGGCGGCTCAGCGGTGAAGGGGCTGGTAGAGGCGGCAACGGGGTCGGTAGAGGCAGCGACGGGGCCGGGAGAGGCGGCGATGGGGCCGCTAGGGGCGGCGACGGGGTCGCGTAGGGAGGGGAGCGGCGACGGGGCCGCTAGGGGCAGCTACGGGGCCGCGTAGGGGCGGCGACGGGGCCGCGTAGGGGCGGCGATGAGGCCGCGAAGGGGCGGCAACGGGGCCGCGTAGGGAGAGAGGCGGCGACGGGGCCGCTAGGGGCAGCGACGGGGCCGCTTAGGGGTGGCGACGGGGCCGCTAGGGGCGGCGACGAGGCCGCGTAGGGGCGGCGACGGGGCCGCGTAGGGGCGGCGACGGGGCCGCGTAGGGAGAGAGGCGGCGACGGGGCCGCTAGGGGCAGCAACGGGGCCGCTAGGGGCGGCGACGGGGCCGCGTAGGGGCGGCGACGGGGTCGCTAGGGGCCGCGAAGGCCTGGAAGTGCGGCTACGGGGCCGCTAGGGGCGGCACGAGGGGCCGTGGGAGGGGCCTCTAAGAGACCTTGACAGAAGGGTGGCCCACAAGGCGCGCCTCGGGCAAGAGCGACTGGCGCTCCGGTCAGAAAAAAAAAAATTAGTGGTGGGCTCAAGGAAGCGTTCCCACTAGGGAACCTGCTCTAGACCATGTGAAGAAATGAGGAATGAATGAACTAGCACAAGGTTGGGTACAAGTAGGAAACCCTAGGAAACTGTACCCCATAGTGTCTACCCCACTATACCCTAGACAAGCTATATGATATTAGTTTGACACGGTCTTGCCATTCCCTATTGCCATTGTTTTTTGTTGTCGTCAACGACGTGGTTCTCGAGCTCGTAGTAGAATTCCCTCGTGGAGTAGATGTTGCAGAATTTTCATATGTTGCAGATGCATCTGTGGAGGAGGTTTGAGGTCGTCACAGCTTCATGTTGACCTCCAGCTCCCTCTTGAGCTGCTTCAGCGCCACCGACTTCTTCCGTGGGGACCGGTTGGTTGACATGGGCTGGTTGTTTTGAGAGAGGATGATGTCGTCGTTGGAAGGTCGATCTTCCACGCTCCGTTATTGGTTCCCCATGCGCAGCTACTGTAGTTGTCTTACGCGTTCATTATTTTGTCGTAATTGTAAGAGTAGGTAGTTAGGTTTAAGTGGGTCTAGGCTTAGTAGCCTAGGCCAAGGGGGGTCGAGCTAGTTTGTGCCAAGGAGGGAGAGTCGAGAGATGAGAGGAGAATGAATGTTCACTATAGCACTACGGTACATATAGCAAACAAAAAGGTGCACCACCTATAAAGTTAATATCTACACTACAGCTAGAACTACATGCAGGTATAAGAATAATTCTAACATCCCCCCGTAACTGCATGCAGGAATCCTAACTGCAGAACACAACCTGCAGGGGTACACCACAGACAGAGAAAACATCAACAGAAGGCAAGGTAACAGAGCAGGTACAGCAGCAAAGGGGCAGGCACTCCTGCCACCCCTTTACTCTCCCCCCCCCCCCCCCCCCCACCTCAGAGGGACAAGGGCTGGTTGGTCTCACACCCGCCACCCCAATGCCACTCCCCTGGCTCCCCCACACCCTCACACCCTCCCCCCCAGCGGCAGCTGCAGCAGTGGGAACAAAAGGAGGAGGAGGGGAAGGGAAACACACCACCCATCACCCCCACACCCGCCACCCCTAGACCCTCCCCCCCACGGCTGCAGGGAGACGAAGGAGGGGGGGGGGGAGATAAAGCCGCAGAGCGGCTACACTCAGTCGGCGCGCTATAGGGCAGGGGCGGCTGCAGTGAGTGCAGGCGCGGGGTGAGGTAGAGGCGCCGTTGCGGGCGCCAGGGGCGGGTCCGCAGCGGCTCAAGGCACCGTCGTGGGCGCCAGGGGAGGGTCCGCGGCGGCTCAGGGCACCGTCTCGGGCGCCAGGGGCGGGTCGGCGGCGGCTCAGAGCACCGTCCCAGGCACCAGGGGCAGGTCGGCAGTGGCTCAGGGCACCGTCGCGGACTCCAGGGGCGGGTCGGCGGCGGCTTAGGGCACCGTCGCGGGCGCCAAGGGCAGGTCCGCTGCGGCTCAGGGCACCGTCGCGAGCGCCAAGGGCGGGTCCGCGGCGGCTCAGGCGCCGTCGCGGGTGCCAGAGGCGGGTCCGCGACGGGCTGGAAAAAACGTCATGCGCCACCTGTAATATGTTATATCTGCTACAGTTGGTTTAGGCTGTAGTGGGGTAGTTACTATGGGGTATAGTAAGTTAGGGTTTTCTACTTGTACCCAACTCGTTTCTCCTTGATCCACTCTTGTTCATTCTGACATGGTATCACAAGCCTAGGTTGCCACCTAGGACCGCTTCCTACTACGGGCCCACTATTCCGCTAGAAGCGCCCTCGTGTGCCCTACCGTACGTGCGCCCTCGTGCGCCTTTCTCTGCGTGGCGCCCTCGTGCGCCTTTTTCTGCTAGTGCGCCCTCGCGCGCTCCGCCCTTCGTTCTGCCTGCGCGCCGTCATGCAGCCCTCGCGCTGCCTCCTGCTGCCCTAGGCCAGTGCGACGCCCCTGCAAGCTAGTAAGGCCCTCGAGCCGCCCCTGCAGGTCTGTTTGGCCCCCGAGCCACCTCTGCAGACCCGTCAGGCCCCCGAGCCGCCTCTGCAGGCCCGATAGGCCTGAGAGCCGCCCCTGCAGGCTCGTCAGGCCCGCGCGCAGCCTCTGCCCGACCGTGCGCCGCCCCTGCAGGCCCTCGCCGCCCGCACGCAGCCTCTGCAGGCCCGTCAGGCCAGCGCGCGACCCCGTCAGGTCGCTGTCGCGGCCCCGTCAGGTCGGAGTCGCGGCCCCGCCTTGTCGCTGACGCGGCCCCACTCTGCCGCGGTCGCGGCCCCGCCCTGCCGCCGACGCGGACGCGGCCCCGCCAGCCCTACAGCTGACGCGGCCGCGCCCTACTGCTGATGCGGCCGCGCCCTTCTACTGACGCGGCCGCGCCCAGCTACTGACGCGGCCGTGCCTAGCTGCCCGCCACGTCGCCCTGCCTGCGGCGTCGCCCCTGCCTGCCGCGTTGCCTTGCCCGCCGCGTCGCCCCTGCCCGCGGCTTCGCCCCTCCCTGCCGCGTCGCCCTGCCCGCCGCGTCGCCCCTGCCCGCCGCGTCGCCGTGACCTACCCCGCGCCTGGCCCCTGGAGCAGCCGCCCTTGGAGCAGCCGCCCCTGGAGCAGCCGCCCCTGGAGCAGCCGCCCCTGGAGCAGCCGCCCCTGCAGCAGCCACCCCTGGTCCCTGGAGCAGCCGCCACTGCAGCAGCCGCCCCTGGCCCCTGGAGCAGCCGCACCTACAGCCGCCTCTGGCCCCTAAAGCGGCCGCCCTTGCAGCAGCCGCCCCTGGCCACTGGAACAGCCGCCACTGCAGGAGCCGCCCCTAGCCCCAAGAGCAGCCGCCCTTGGAGCAGCCGCCCCTAGAGCAGCCGCCAATGCAGCAGCCGCCCCTGAGCTCTGGAGCAGCCGCCCCTGCAGCAGCGACCGTCGCGGCCCTGTCCCTGCCCTGCACCAGCTGCCGTCGCGGGTCGGTCTCGCCCTGCAGCAACTCCTGCGGAGCTCCCTGCCGCGGTCGCGGCCCCGCCCTGCCACTATAGCGGCCCCGCAGTCGCCTCCGTCGTGCGCCTACCCTTTCCACCACTGGTGAGCACTGCCCTGCCCGTGCTGCTACTACTGTTACTGCTGCTGCTACTGCTTCTACTGCTGCTCCTGGCGTGGCCAGATGCAGCTCCAGGGCCGTCCGCGTGTGTCCCTCACGCCCCAGCAGCTTTGTGAGTGGTACGCCAGTTGGGGTTGTCGAGGTGGCAGTAGTGGAAGTCGTCCTGGAGTGCGTAGTTCGGGAGTTTCTTGTAGTGGCCCGGTGCAGCAGCAGCGTCGTCTGCGCGAGACTCGTTCGCCCCAGCAGCTTCGTGAGTGGTACGCTCAGAGTAGAGGGTCGCTGGGTACTGCTCGCTACCCGTACGTTATTAGCATGGGTGTCTGAACTGGTCAGCCATGCGGGACACCTGGTCACACAAAGTCTCGCTGCTTCGCCCGTCTGAGGGACGCTTGGCGTACACAGTTTGGCGACGACGCTGAGCTCCCCGACTGGGTGGAACTGCTTAGGCAGAGGGTAGATATCTTTGTTTTTGACTATGATGCTATTCTCACTGCAATGTATGCATTGTCTACTACGGCCGAGGAAGCGTGTCACCTGTGTATGCCGCCTGACCCCGGTATCCAGTCTGCTGCTCCAGGTGCCGGTGAGGCTACCGCTCTAGGTGCTAGTGTGTCTGCTGCTTCAGGTGCTTGTGAGTCTGCGCCTTCAGGTACTGCGTCTACTGAGGCACGGCACACCTTCACACTGAACTCAGGTGCTTCTCGCTATTTCTTT